TGGTGCAGTCCTGTGGTCCTGGTGCCAAAAAAGGATGGGGGGCTCCGCTTCTGTGTAGACTTTTCGAAACTGAATAACATATCAGCTTTTGATCCATATCCCATGCCTCGTGTAGACGAGTTGGTGGAGCGCCTGGGAAAGGCTGAGTTCCTCAGCACCTTGGACTTGTGTAAAGGATACTGGCAAGTGCCACTTAACACCCAAGCACGAGAACTGACCGCCTTCAAAGCTCCATCAGGATTGTTTCAGTTTAAGGTCATGCCCTTTGGCCTTCATGGAGCTGCAGCAACATTCCAGCGTCTCATGGATGAGGTGCTGAGGGGCGCTGAGGACCATGCCGCTGCTTACATTGATGATGTCATTATTTACAGTTCGTCGTGGGAAGAACATCTTCAACACCTTAAGCCTAGTTCACACTACGTGATTTTAAGCCCGATTTAAGCCCGATTTGCAAATCGTTGAGTCGCCGACAAGTCAGGGTGTTATCGCGTGCAAATCGCGGGCGATTAGCGGACGATTAACGCTCGCCAATCCGTTAGTGTGAAAGAGCCAACAACGCACCAAAGACAGCTCGCAGACACCTCGCAGACAGGTCACCGAGCTCAGAAAAATATCTAGCATGCTAGATATCTCGAGCAGTCGCGCGACTCAATCTCAGTGATGTCATGAGTACAGCCAATCATAGCAACGCATAGGTTGAGGACACCAGGTAAATCTTACTTTTTCTTTTTTGCATTTTTTTTTCTCAGAGCAGATCGTCGAGCAAACAGTGTGCAGCACTAGTTTCTGTCTGACGTCCATATTCGCGTGTTGTGTTCGTCTCTGCAGTTTCGCGTCATTTCTGGTTCGTTTTATTGCGTGGTTTTTCGTGACAAAACATGGTTTCTAGACCAGATAGAATCGTGTTGTTGTCAACTCGTTATTTGTTTGATTATTTTCAGGATTTAGACCGTACTATAGTACTGAAACAGCTCTCATTGAGTCACAAATGATTTGCTCTTATTATCCGATCGTGGTTGTATCTCTATGTAGTGCGTTGTTAACTCGTGTAGTGAGTTACCTCCTGTTGTGGATCAATCACGTTGTGTTGTGTGGTGTGAACAGCTAAATAACTTGAAAACTCATGATTTCACTGAGAGCAAGTCATGTAGTGTAAACTGCACAGTTCAGCCCGACATTTTAAAACCATGTAGTGTGAACTAGGCTTTAGTGATGTCTTTCGAAGGATTCGGCAGGCCGGGTTGGTAGTAAATGCCAGCAAATGCCAACTTGCCAGGTCTGAAGTATGCTACTTGGGATATGTCCTGGGTTGCAGTACTATACGTCCTCTGGTCAGCAAGGTGGAAGCCATACGCAACTCCCAGCCGCCTACAACCAAGAAGGGGGTTAGATCTTTTCTGGGGTTGGTCGGATGGTACCGGCGCTTTATTTCCAACTTTTCAAGCCGAGCAGCTCCCTTGTCAGATCTCACTCAGGTCGTCTGGACTGCAGAGTGTCAGGCAGCTTTCCACGACCTCAAGGAGAGCATGTGCCACGAACCAGTGTTGCAGAGTCCTGACTTTTCCTTACCCTTCACGGTGCAAATGGACGCTTCTGGCATTGGACTAGGAGCAGTGTTGCTGCAGGGTGAGGGGGAGGACAAAAGACCTATACAGTTTGTGAGCCGCAAACTTTTCCCTCGTGAGACTCGGTACACCACCATAGAAAAGGAGTGTCTGGCCATCAAGTGGGCGCTGGACACTTTAAAATATTACCTTGTTGGCAAAGAGTTTGTCTTGGAGACAGACCACAGGCCCTTGCAATGGCTACATCGTATGCGTGACTTTAATTCCAGAATCACCCGATGGCACCTTGTCCTTGCAGCCATACAGGTTTACAGTGAGGTATAGAACGGGAAAGGATAACGTTATTGCTGACTTTCTTTCACGTCAGGAGATGGACCTAGACGTTCTCTCTTAAGGGGGGGGGGGTGTGACGGGGCGCATAGCTATCGTCACGGCAGCGATACGCTGCCTATTCTTGTACACAAAGACTGTGTGTAAATGTGATCCGTATGTTTGTCTAGCACGTTAAGGTTTTTTGTTAATCTTTATACTGTAAATTAGCGGTTAATCTAGCCTTTCATAACAAAAACTCATATATCCCGTAGCTTTTGGTGTGCACATCTTTAACAGCTAATACTGCGGTGATTTAAATGCTATCGCTACTTCTATCAATACATATCTTGCTGTTTTCAAGAAAATTATGTCATTTACATCACAGTTATATGCAGTTACAATAATCACACAATACATGTTTTCAATAGGTATCTGTTTATTTAGTTTAAGAGAAACATTGTGTTCACATACCATCTTTGTTGTACTCACATCTCTGGTTTGTTTGAGTAAAGGAAAATGTGCCGCTATTGTGGGGTTTAAATGACGCTATGACTTCCGGGTCAAGAGAAAAATGACAGGAGTTTGAGTTTAATTATTTCGTAGCTGTTAATGTGACTTTTTGCTTGCCAATTGTCAGCTGAAACTGTAGAAATAATATTCTGTAATTTTCTAGTTTTATAGAGGTTGTATTTCATGCTGTTTTTAAGCATTTATGCTGTTGTCATCTGAGTCACCCCTGTATCATAATCATGTGTTGGTATGTTCCAATTCCATGGGTGAACTCAGGTCTATAAAGGCTAGTATTTTCATTCTGTTATGGGAGCTTGCGGTAAAATGACATAAGTCTGTCCTTGCTCTAATATACTGACTTGTGTTAAGGTCAATGTCTGAACTGTTGTAAAAGTTTTTTTTTATGTATTTATTTTGACTCTTATGTCAATTTACTTTGTTTATTCAAAAGTATTTTTTTTTTGTTATTTTTTTTTTTTTTGCTTTTCATTTGCCTTAATTATGGATAAATAAAAACTCCATCTATGCAAACTCATCTAAATTCTCCTGAGTGCTACATCTGCTCATGACCATTCAGTCACGACTACCCATAACAGGTAATTATTACCTAACCCAACACATAATCCTGAAACTTTGCAGGCTGCTTTACTTCTCTGCCAGCAAGGGTTCTTTTACAGGTGGGTGTATGTGGTGTGGTACTAGACCCATTCTCAGAGTTTGTGTATAAATCAGTCTCGAGAGAGGTTCCATCAGTTAATTCACTGTGCCCATGTACAATCTGTCTATCAGGTGTTTCAGGTATCTCCGGAACACTCTGGATGTGTCTCCGGTTCCGACGAGAGATTGTACCTTCCTTTGTTCGTACAATGTATGACCTCGGTTCGGGAGCTTTTGCAACGACTGTCGCCGATGTTTTCCATCCCTTTTCTCCATCCAACTTGACTTTGACACTTTGTCCTTGATGTAAGTCAGGTAAACCACGTGCTGAGTAGCGCCGGTTGTAGAAGTACTGATACGCCTGCTTGGTTTGTTTATCCTTCCGTCTGACTTGTTCATAGTCAATTGGACTTGGTAGCAGGTTCATTGGCAGCATCGGAACTGTTGTTCTGATCTGACGTCCAATCATAAGTTGAGCTGGGCTCAGTCCAGTAGCACTGCTGGGAGTAGAACGATAGCTCATCAGAGCTAGCTGTGGATCTGGCTGTCTGAGCATCCGCTTTGCAATAGCAACACTCCTTTCAGCGGCACCGTTAGCCTGCGGATAATGAGGGCTGGAAGTAGTGTGAGTGAAATTGTATGTCGTTTTAAACTCTGCAAACTCAGTGGCTGTGAATTGAGTAGCATTGTCTGTCACAAGTTCATATGGGATCCCCCATCGAACAACCATGTTTTTCAGATGTGTGATTACCTGCTGGCTGTGTGAAATCAAAGGATTCAGGTGCGCTAAACTTCGACATTTTCCTTCCGTTCTCCTTCGCTGATCAGAGGAGTGCGTGAAGATCTTTCAATTCTGACACCATGTCATGATATTGAGACGTCAACTCGATGATGAACTCAGTCTGCCTTTATTCACATGCGCAGTATCAAACAGAAACTCAAAGACGTTCTCACCCCGCCCCCGTTGCCCAGCAACCTGGACCCTTAAGCTAACAGTCAATCCCAACTTGTACAAATATCACCACAACCACCACAACCAATTAATGTGTAAAGTGCTCGATATGTATTTATATTAAAACAATTCTGTCTTAAAATGTGTTAAAATAACATTAATTGTTTCTTCAAAGGTAGCAGTTTTTCATCTGGGAGATGACGTCATAAGAGGGAGCGCAGGCGGTAATGCACTCACTCTGTGTGTGCAGGTTGAGGGAGAATAAAATTATTTGCAAACTAGAAATATCTATGAAAAAAACATAAAAGCTAATATATTTTTATTAATCTGTTGCAGAAAAAGGAACAAGAACAACAAAATAGAAATGATTTACAGGCCAGAGTTTCTATTTATAACATGTTTGTAGCATTGAGCGATGTAACCAATCACAGACATATGTGTTGATTTCTAGGAACGAAATGGCCAATCAGAAGCATTTACGATAGACTTCCCTCACCGCTCAAAACTGACGTTTGTTCAGTGATGAATTCTGTATGCTGGCAGATCCTCGAGTTATAACAAACAAAGTGTAGATATTATGAAAAATTCATTGATAATAACAGAGATGTGTGAGATTGTGATGAACTGATTATTGATTGCTAGCCCTAACTGATTACTGAATTATTATGGGAGCGCACTTTGCAGGCAGTCATGCCAAACCATGCATGATTGTAAGTGCTTGTTTTTATACTTTAAAGGTGCAATGTGTAAAAATGTTGAGGATTTATTAACAGAAATGCAGTATGACATCCATATGTTTTCTGTGGTGTATAAAGAACTTATTTAATAAACCGCAATGTTTTTATTACCTTAGAATGAGACATTTATATCTACATAACCGCGGTCACCCCCTTCTGTGTAGGTCGACATATTGTGACGTCATGTTTTTACCGCAGCCAACAGCGAACAAACAGCGCTACAGAGCGTGTTTTGTCACTACCTTGAAAGCAAAGCCACAGAAAGCTAGAAGCTAGCCATAAACACCGTGAGTAGTGATTTTTCCCTTGTCAGTGGTGTAAAATATGTAGTTGGATTGTTTCATGTAACTTAGTTCTTCTCCCTCACTGTGTTATGGCTTTGTAGCACTAAGAATGTAAAATGGGACAGATATCAAAGCACCCCCCTTTAAATTTCAAACTGTTCATATTATCATTAGTTACTTGTATGACTTTCATTGTGTTCAATTTGGTGAGACTCGGAGTCGCCAGCAGGGGGCACCCGGGAGTTGCGCGGCGCATGAGTGGCTGACTAGTTAGCAGCATAGAAGTAGTCCAGCACGAGATGAAGCGCGAATGTGCAGAGAAATGTGCTCCTTGTTTGAACATTGCATTTTCTTGTGTTTCATACAGGTAAGCTGACAATAACCTTACACTGGTATATGTATAACAGTATTATATTCTTATAGAGCCATAGTTTGTGCCTGAAACGTTAACAAAAGTGAAGTTTTAACGGTGATTAAGAGTTATGTCGTGAAATGGCGGACGGGAGTGTTAACTATTTAATTAGTAGAAAACTAGTAACTCTTAACGTGAGCAAAACGGAGTAATAAAGGTTTAGAAGCATATATACTCGACGTGAGTGTGGGATGAGGCATAATTAACCGAATATATGTGTATGAACATTGATTGAAATGCGTGTAGAGACAAGTCTGGGCAATTGGAGTTAATGAGGCACACGTGACTGTTCTTAGCCCTCGTATATACACGTGACCCTCATTTAGCATTGCTTTGTCAGCCATTACATGTAAAAATAAAGGACGTTCATACTGTTAAATTAAGAACCATAGTCAGATTGAGAGGTAAAACAGTTTATTAATAATTTTGTGAGTTCATAGTGATAACACAGTAACTGTTAAATGGTTAAAATTTAGTTCATAATGTAGTCAGGTCATTAGCATATTTCATGGAAGAGTAAAAAGATTAAAGACAAGTTAAACAGTGATATGAAAGAGTATTAGGAATACACGTGCAGTTATCAATGTTAGAGTAATGTGGGTATAGACTGAACTATTGCTGATGCCTGAAAATCTATTTTAATTCCAAATACTATTCACATGCTTGTTTGAGTTTAAATGTATGACTCATAGAGTTTATTGTACTTTAAAGATGTTATTTTTCAGACCTTTTCCTTTTATATCAGTTTAATAACGGGCATAGCACATGTTTAGATCCATGTTAATGTGTTTGTGTAAAGAACATGTATTTTCTGAAAATGGAGTATTGTAAGGAGTCTAGTCTAGTGTGACGTATCAGCCTAGACATCAGTCATGCGAGTCAAGATAATTTGTGAATATATCACAGGATAAGAGTATAGAAGTAGTCCAGCACGAGATGAAGCGCGAATGTGCAGAGAAATGTGCTCCTTGTTTGAACATTGCATTTTCTTGTGTTTCATACAGAAAAATAAATGTGTTGCACCCGGAAGTGACATTGCCTCTTTCCAAAAAGTGTAACATATTTTGGCGAGCCAGCCAGGAGGAGGCGATAGAGTGACCAACACCATTAACCCCCTCCTTCCCAACGAGTCGATCCGGAAACAAGATGGACGCCAGTCAGATCCTGCGTGATCAAGTGAGTGCAGCTCTGTGGCAGCTAAGGGAAGAGTCTCTCTGGGAGGTCTGCAGGTACATGAAATGTGATGGCCTGGACAGTGAAGAGTCCCGCAGCAAGACACGGAGGGCGCTCATCAAGATGGCGGAGTGCGTATTGGATGATCTAGAGGAGAGCGAAGAAGGTGATCAAGTTAAACAGTACTGTGTTGATTTATTGACATACATTGAAAGACAAAGTAAAGAAGGTCGTCAACCAGATGCAGTGAAGCCATCAGAGAAGCCAGCTCCAAAGGAAGAAGAAAAAAAGCGTTTTGCACCACCCAGTCCCCCTGTAAAGAAGGCAGAGTCCTCGCTCAGGAGCCGACTAGAGCCAACTCACCCATTGCCTGAGGTAACCATGCGAAGAGAGTTTAAGATCTGTGGTCAAATTGGAGAGGGTGGTCAGAGGGATAAATTGTCGTACCCCAGTTTAGTTCGACAGATTGAGATGGGAATAGAAAAAGGGCACACGCAGACTGAAGTAGTCGAAGCTGTGATCAGGGCTGTCAGTCCAGGGCTGCCTTTGAGAGACATGCTAGAGATTAAACGTGGTCTGACCCTCAGTTCACTTCTCACCATCCTGAAAGGCCACTATCGTGTAGATAGCTCCACTGAACTTTACCATCAGCTACTAAACATCTCTCAAGAGCCCAAAGAAACTGTCCTGAACTTTGTATTCCGTGCAATCGAGCTGAAAGAGAAGCTGTTATGGAAAGCAGCAAATGAGGACACAGATGAACAGTACAGCCGAGCCGTCATTCAACGCAAGTTCCTCCGCTCAATTGAAACTGGACTGTTAAGTGATTCTGTGAAATTCCAAATTCTGCCCTACCTCAGTGATTTGAGTATTTCAGATGAAGAGCTTATACAGAAAGTGGATGAGGCGGCCAAAGTCGAAAGTGAGAGACAAGAAAAGCGCAAGAGATCCACCGCTGGTAAGACGCCCAAAGTGCAGGAGCTTCAAGCAGATACTCAGGTAAAATCCAAACCTGCCCAGAGCCCCTCTAAACTTAAGGAGTCCAACCCAGCAGCAGAAATCACAACAGTAAAAGGGAACGAGACTAAACCTGACAGCATGAATGTACAGCAGATGATGGAAGAACTTCGTAAAGAGATGAAGCAAATGTTTCTGGCTGTAATGGAAGCGAACCCCCGTTCTCCTGAACAAAGGCCGAGAGAAAAAGGTTGCAAGAAATGTAGGGATGAGAGAACAGGTGAGAGCTGTTCACACTGTTTCAAATGTGGGAAGGAAGGCCACTTCTCTCGCGGATGCAGAGCGTTGTCGGGAAACGGGCAGGGGCTACTGAGATGGGGCCAGCAGTAGTCCAAGTAACAGCGCCCCAAAATGAGCAGCCACCACCCAGCTCAGTCATTCAACCGACAACAGCCCTGGGAAAGAGAGCATCGGGCGCCTCACCTGCTGTAAGTGTAGTTCACTATATACCACCTCGACACCAGCCACAGTTAGTAAGCCTTGTAGGAAGCCGATGTATGGTGGACTGTTTCATGGACAATCGACCAGTCAGAGCCCTGTGGGACACGGGAGCACAGTCCAGTATAGTGAATGAGCCCTGGCGACTGAGCTGCCTTCCTCACACTATTGTCAAACCCATCTCAGAGTTGTTGGGAGATGAGACCCTGACAGTCTTTGCTGCCAATGACACGCCCATTCCATATATTGGCTGGATTGAAGTCAGTTTCAGATTAGGCAGTGACCCCACCAAGATGAATGAACTTCAAGTACCAATGCTTGTGTCAAGCGACCCAGCAGTTGCCAGCGACCCCATCATTGGCTACAACGTCATTGAGGCGATCATTAACCGCAACGAGGAAAAGACGAAAAGTGAAAGAAAGCAGTTGGCACAGAAAGTGAGTAGAGCCCTTGCAATAACAGTGAAAACTGCTCATCAGGTAGTCAAGTTGATGCAGAACGGTGATTCAGATTCGGAGATTGGTGTAGTTCGTACCTGTGGAAAAAAAGTGCCCTTACCAGCTAACCAAGTCACCACTGTCTACATAAGAGCACATGTGAGTTCACGAACCCAAGGTCAACATATGTTCTTTTCACCTGACTTACTTAATCCTCCTCCAGAAGGTGTTATTTACAATGATGTACTGGTCCAGATCCCAGAAAGGAGAGTTCCATACATACCCATCTCCATGACCAACACGACTGATCACACCATCTGTCTGGACCGTCACAGGGTGATTGGATATCTGGAACCGGTCAAGACCGTATACACAGCGCCTATAAAGATTAATGAGAATGAGACAAGGGCTGAAATGAAGGACAGCACAGTGACAAAGACCAGTGAAGCAAGTAGCACACCACAACCAGATAACACTCAGGCGAGTAGGCCAACTTCATGGGACCCTCCTGTGGATCTCTCCCATCTCTCGGAAGGACAGCAGGAGGTGGTAAGGAGGATGTTGCGGGAGGAATGTGAAGCGTTTTCCTTTGACAGTGACGATGTGGGTTGTATACCATCACTCAAGATGCATATCACCCTCCACGATTCGAGCCCTGTACAAAAGACCTACATGTCTGTACCCAAGCCTCTGCACAATGAAGTTAAGGAGTACCTACAGGATCTGTTGAGAAGAGGGTGGATCACACCTTCTCGATCCCCTTATTCATCCCCAGTGGTGTGTGTCCGTAAGAAGGACGGAAGTCTTCGTCTTTGTGTTGACTTCAGAGAACTTAACCGTAAGTCAGTCCCCGACCGCCATCCGATACCGAGGATTCAAGACATGTTGGATGCTCTAGGTGGGAGCTCGTGGTTCTCGGTCTTAGACCAGGGTAAAGCGTACCACCAGGGTTATCTGGATGAGGAGAGCCGCCCGCTCACAGCTTTCATCACACCCTGGGGGCTCTATGAATGGGTGCGCATACCCTTTGGCCTGAGCTCGGCACCCGCAGAGTTTCAGAGGAGCATGGAGCATTGTCTGACTGGGCTGAGGGACACAAGTTGCCTCCCGTACCTGGATGACAACCTGGTACACAGTTGTAGCTTTGAGGAACACGTGGAGCACATCCGTCTTGTTCTCCAGCGCTATAAGGAACACGGTGTGAAGCTGACCCCAAAGAAGTGTGAGCTGTTTAAATCGAGTGTGAGGTTTCTTGGCAAGTTGGTGACTGGAGAGGGGTACACAATGGACCCTGCAGAGGTGGCTCCGGTGCAGGCGTTAAAAGAGAAGACCCCTGCCACAGTGGGTGATGTGCGCCAGATCCTTGGGTTTCTCTCTTACTACAGACCCTTTATTCCCAATTTCTCCCGCGTGGCTCACCCACTCTATGACTTACTCACAGTCCCTAACCCTGAGAAAGGCACTCTAGACCAGACCATGAAGAAGCCATGTAAGACAGGAAAGAAAAACAAGGGTCACTTACCATCGCAGACACCTATAGAGTGGAACAGCTCCCATCAGGAAGTATTGAATCAGCTGGTAGATGCACTCACGAAGCCGCCTGTCCTCGGATATCCAGATTTCACCCAACAATTTGTATTGCATTGTGACGCATCCCAAGTTGGCCTGGGTGCGGTGTTATACCAGAGACAGCAGGGGAGGATGAGAGTGATTGCCTATGGCTCCCGCACCTTGAGTACAGCAGAGAAGAGGTACCATCTGCACTCTGGAAAACTGGAGTTTTTAGCGTTGAAGTGGGCCATCTGCGAACGGTTTCGGGATTATCTTTATCACTCCCCATCATTTGTGGTATATACAGATAATAACCCGTTAACGTATGTGCTCACAACCGCAAAACTCAACGCAACAGGACACAGATGGGTGGCGGAGCTGGCCGATTATAACTTCACAATCAGGTACCGCCCAGGCAAAAACAACTCCGATGCAGATGGCTTATCAAGGATGCCGTTGGACTTTGAGGACTACATGTGTAGCTGTACGGCTGAGGCCAGTCAAGATGTCATCAGTGCATCTATGGAGAGAGTTACAGCGGAAAAGACAAGCCCTTGCCGGGGTGTTGGGTGGATCCAGGTCAGTGCTTTGAGCTTAGTGAAGGACCGGGAGACCAGCAAACCTCTTACCACAGATCAAATCCGCAAAGCGCAGGAAGAGGATGAAATCCTGTCCAGAGTCCTCTGGTACAAGTCACAGAACAAGAGGCCAAGTAGATCTGAAGTGAAAGCAGAGAGCCCCGCAGTGGCCATATTGCTGAAACAATGGCTCAAGGTTAAAGTTGGTCCAGATGGCGTCTTGCGCCGCAGAACTTCCCGTCGAGAACAACTGCTGCTCCCCAAAGCTTATCATCCTCTGGTCTTCAAAGAACTGCACCAGGACATGGGTCACTTGGGGGTCGAAAGGACACTCGACCTGGTACGAGAACGATTTTACTGGCCACAGATGAGCAGGGATGTTGAACATTTTGTCAGTAAGGTGTGTGAATGCCTCAAGAAGAAGAAGCCGAGTAAGCAGAGCCGTGCACCTCTGGTGCCCATTCAGACCACTTATCCATTTCAGCTCGTCTCGATAGACTTCTTGCATTTGGAAAAATGCAAGCATGGCTATGAGTATATACTGGTGGTCATGGACCATTTTACTAGGTTTGCGCAGGCCTACGCAACAAGGAATAAGTCGTCCAAAACAGTAGCTGACAAGATTTTCAACGATTTTGCACTCAAGTTCGGGTTCCCAAGCAGACTACATCACGACATGGGCAAAGAGTTTGAGAACAGACTGATGGCGAGCTTAAAGAAACTCTCTGGCATCCAGGGCTCACACACAACGCCATACCACCCCCAGGGTAACGGGCAGGTGGAAAGGTTTAACCGTACCCTGTTGTCCATGCTGCGCACCTTGGAGGACGAGGAGAAGGAGGATTGGAAGGAGTCCCTCGCGAAAGTTGTCCACGCGTACAACTGCACCAAGAACGAGGCAACGGGTTACGCGCCTTATTTCCTTATCTTTGGACGTTCTCCTCGCCTGCCCATTGATCTGTTCTTTAGTCTTGAAAAAGATGAGGCCCACGACACCTATGATGACTACGTGAGTAAATGGAAGACAAGAATGCAAGAGGCATACGAGATTGCGGCTAAAACAGTGGTCAAAGGAGCAGTTCGTGGAAAAGTCCTCTATGACCGGAAAGTGCAGGGAAGAGACCTCCAGCCAGGTGATAGAGTCCTTCTCAGAAATCTCACTCCCAGAGGCGGGCCTGGAAAAATTCAATCTTACTGGGAAGGTCAGGTGTACAGAGTGAAGGAGAGGAAAGCTGATGGGAGTCCCGTTTATGAGATCAGTCCAGAAAATGGCAAAGGAAGGGACAGAGTGGTTCACAGAAATCTTCTGTTGCCCTGTGATTTCCTACCTCTTGATCAGCCACCAGCAGGGCTTCGTCAGCCATGGAAAGACTCCCGGAGCTCCTCAAAGAAAAGAACCAAACCACAACAACAGCAGCAACCAGAGCCAAGTGACACCTCTGACGATGAAGGCAGTGGTTCCTACCAATGGAATCTGAGATCTGGCAGCGGGAGACAGCAGAGACCCACTCCACTGAATCCTCTGGCAGAACCCTTTCACCCACTACAAAGCGAAGAGGATGTGCCACTACAAAGCGAAGAGGATGTGCCACTACAAAGCGAAGAGGATGTGCCACTACAAAGCGAAGAGGATGTGCCACTACAAAGCGAAGAGGATGTGCCACTACAATCTCAGAGACCTGATTTGAGTTCTGACAGGTCTGAGAATGTTGAGTCAGAGGCCGATCCGCTGGTTCGGACGCTAGGAGAGCGACATGCGGTAGGACCTCGACCCCAGAGACTGAGACGTCAGCCGGTTGTACTGAGTTATGACACATTGGGTCAACCGTCCTTGGTAAATCGAGACTGTAAGGTAACAGAGAATCAGGTAACGCAGACGAAGGGTTACTGGAGGCCTTGGATGGCTGAGGTTTTCTAAAGTAATGTTCCCTTGTTCTGGGAAATGTCAGGAGACATTTAATTTTGTGGGGGAGAGTGTAGCACTAAGAATGTAAAATGGGACAGATATCAAAGCACCCCCCTTTAAATTTCAAACTGTTCATATTATCATTAGTTACTTGTATGACTTTCATTGTGTTCAATTTGGTGAGACTCGGAGTCGCCAGCAGGGGGCACCCGGGAGTTGCGCGGCGCATGAGTGGCTGACTAGTTAGCAGCATAGAAGTAGTCCAGCACGAGATGAAGCGCGAATGTGCAGAGAAATGTGCTCCTTGTTTGAACATTGCAATTTCTTGTGTTTCATACAGGTAAGCTGACAATAACCTTACACTGGTATATGTATAACAGTATTATATTCTTATAGAGCCATAGTTTGTGCCTGAAACGTTAACAAAAGTGAAGTTTTAACGGTGATTAAGAGTTATGTCGTGAAATGGCGGACGGGAGTGTTAACTATTTAATTAGTAGAAAACTAGTA